AGGCACTTCACCTACAGATATATACATACAGAGGGAAAATTTTCACCTTTTCTTTCCTAAGTATCGACCCCCCTCAATCCTTCTTGCTTTCCTTTCTTATCACTATTAGTCTATATTTTTCCCAATATTTATTATATTACAAAAGTATAAAATGTTAAGACTAGTATAGAAATCAGTGAACTATGGCCCACTGTCCTTTTTTTTAAACAAAGCTAAAATAACTTTATTAAGATATGATTTATATACTATACAATTTACCCTTGAAAAGTACAAAAACTAAAGTCTTCTAGCATATTCTTAGGGATGGCAACCTTGACGACTAAAGAGAAATTTCATCCACCCCAAAGAATCCTCACACCCTGTGGAACCCTCTTTCCACTCTCACTCTTGCTTCGGGCCCTTGGCAATCACTAATTTACTTTGTATCTCCATGGATTTGCCTACTTCAAATATTTCAAAAAAATGAAATTATATAACATAATATACAGCATTTTGTGATTGGTTTCTTTTACAAATTGTGGCATTTTTGGAATTCATACATGTCGTAGCATCAATTGGTACTTTGTTCCTTTTTATTACTAAGTAATGTTCCACTTATGAATATACCACTCTTAAATCTATATTCATCAGTTGGTACACCCTGGGTTGTTTCAGTCTTTTGGTTATCATGAACAATGCAGCTATGGAAATTCACATGCAAGTATCCGTGTGGGCTATTTTTTTTTATCTTGGGTATATATTCATGAGCAGAACTGACGGGTCACATGGTAACTGTGTCTAATATTTCACAGAACTGCCAAATTCATTTTAATAAGTGACCATAGATAGCATCCTACAGTCCCACCAACAGAGTGAGGGTTCGATTTCTCTGCATCCTTCCCTACCTTGTTCTCCAATTTGCTTTTTAATGCTTTTGTGTGCTGGCGCTCTCTCTTCCTTGAGCTGTTTCTGGAGGTGTGAAGTTGTACCTACTGCAGGGCTGACCCACCCTTCCCTGTGGACTGGTGGTGAGTAGCGTCTTCTCATGGCTGACTGACCATTTGGACATCCTCTTTGGAAAGAGGTGTATTCAGGTCCTTTGACATTTTAAAAGTTGGGCTATTTGTCTCTTTCTGTGGTTGCACTGTCTGAGTTTTCCTTTATAAACATGTGATTTGCAAATAATCTCTCCCATTCTGTGGGCTGCGTATTCACTTTGATGATGGTATGGTTTGGATCTTCAATGTCCCCAAAAGCTCCTTGGTGAAGTCCTGGTCCCCAACTAATGGTGCTCCAGGGAGAAGGTGGAGCCTTTAAGAGGTGGGGCTTACTGGAAGGAAGTTAGGTCATTGGGGTGTGTCCTTACTGGGAATTCTGGGACCCAGGCCTTTCCCCTCTCTCTCTCCTTCCTGGTTGCTGTAGGTGAGCAGCTGTCCTCTGCCATGTGCTCTGTGATGCTCTGTGTCTGCAAAGGCCCAGGGCCACACCACCATGAATGACACCTCTGAAGCCGTGAGCCAAAATAAACCTTTCCTCCTTTTAGGTTGTTTATCTCAAGTATTTTGTCACAGAGGTGGACAGCTGACTGACACAGATGGTATTCTTTGAACATAAAATTTTTAGTCTTTATGAATTCCAACTTATTTGTTTCTTTTGTCACTCTTGTTCTTTTTAGTTTCTTTTTTCTTTTGAAGTGTTGGGAATGGAACCCAGGGCCTCACATGTGCTAAACCTGTGAGCTACCCCGAGCCACATCCCCAGCCTTCACCTGCACTCCGGGTGTCATACCTAACCCAATGGTGCAAGGATTTGCTATCATATTTTCCTATAGGAGTTTTATAGGCTTAGCGTTTATATTTGGGTCTATGATCCATTGTGAGTGGAATTTTTTACATGATACTTGATAAAGGTCCGAATTCACTTTGTGCATGTTATTGTAAAACAGTGGCTTTGTAAATATCCAGTTGTTTCAGTGTTATATTTTGAAAGTACCCTTCATGCCTGCCCTGGACCGTCTCAGCGTGCATAGTGAAAATTAATCGACACGAACGACACCCCTCTCTACCTTAATAGCCGCCGTGACGTCCCCGCGTGCTTATTTTTATGCACTCAGGGCCGCACCACTGGCACACTATTGCACAAACAGAGCAGAGACAGTCTGTCTAAAAGTTTGCATGTGTTTATTTTTAAACTTGGAGGAGGAAAAGCCTTTCTAAGTAGGGTAGAAAACTTAGAAGCTGTAAAGGAAAAGATAGATACTTGCGACTATATAAAATTTTTGAATTTCTCTTTGGCACAGAAGAGCTCAAGTAAAGTAAAACAAACAAATCTGGGGAGAGAATCTGCAAGCACATACGACGAATGAGCGGCTATTTCCTTAATCTATTCATCAATAGAAGGTCAATAAGGGCTATGAGCAAGTAACTTAGAGGAAGAGGGTCCTGGAGCTCCCAGATGCTCCCCAGAGCTCCCAATTAAGATCCAGGTGGCATTCGTGAGAGGTGGAGTCCCATCTTTGGAAGGCTGACGTTCAAACACGGTGGCAAAGCCTGGTGCAGAGACCAATGTGGTGTGGTGGTTCAGGGAACGGGGATTCTGTCGTATTCTGAGGCTTTAGGCTATTGCTACCATTGCGGTTTGTAACTGGCCAATGTTCATTAAAATAGCCATTGCTCTGACATTGACCTACCAATTCCACTGCGGTGAGTATTCTGTTGTTAGAGTAAACAAAACAAAAAGAGGAACAAGCGGGAAGCAGCTACATGTTTCATCAGGGATACTAAATAGTCATCAAGGAGTTCTGTATATTCTAATATAGAAAAGTCCCAAAGAATACTTTTAAGGAACAATGGAAAGTGCACATATGAGCCAACTTGTGTATACATTTGTTATGGTTTAGATATGAGGTGTGCCCAAAGGCTCATGTGAGGGAAGTTCAGAGGAGGAACGACTGGGTCCTGAGAGCCTCAACCTTGTCGGCATGTTAATAAACTCCAGTGGGTTGGCTGGGTGGTGCTTAGGGTAGGGTGTGGCTGGAGAAGGTGGCCTCTAAAGTTGTGCCTTTGGGGGCCTGCATTTGTCCTGGAGTGGAATTCTCTCTGTCTGCTTCCTGAGGGTCCCCTCCGAGCTGCTTCCTTTCATCCTGGCTTTCTGTCTTGGTGTTCTCCCTCATCTCGGGCACAGGGCAATGGAGTCGGCCGTCTGTGGACTGAGACCTCTCAAGCTGTGAGGCCCAAGTAAACTTTTCCTTCTCCAAAATTGTTCTTGTCAGGTTTTTTTGGTCAAAGTGGCAGCAAAGCTGACTAAAACATCCTTAAAATGTAAATGTAAAAAAATATGTATAAAATAAAATGTGAAAGTGAACCCCCTACATGAACATTTAAAAATTCATGTGTATGCCTAGGTGTATATAAGAACAGCGTGGGTTGTTTCATGAAGAGCACATCAGGCAACCGTGAGCAGTGGTCATCTTTTGGAACAGGGGCTGGGAAGGGAAGGTTTCTTGTAATTGTCATTTTATATCATTCTACATTGCTGAATGATCTAAGTGCACACTGAATTTACTTTTAAAAATATGGTCAGATGGGATCACCCGAGTAGAGGGATCACGAAACAGTTTTCCATCTCTGTACTTTAGAAAACTTGGAATGGAACCACCATTTGACCCAGCTATCCCACTCCTCGGTCTAAACCCAAAGGACTTACTACAGGGACTTACTACAGGGACACAGCCACCTCAATGTTTATAGCAGCACAATTCACAATAGCTAAACTGTGGAACCAACCTAGATGCCCGTCAGTAGATGAATAGATAAAGAAAATGTGGTATATGTACTCAATGGAATATTATTCGGCAGTAAGAGAATAAAATCATGGCATTTGCAGGTAAATGGATGGAGTTGGAGAATATTATACTAAGTGAAGTTAGCCAATCCAGAAAAACCAAATACTGAATGTTTTCTCTGGTATAAGGAGGCTGATTCAGAGTGGGGTAGGAAGGGAAAGCATGTGACGATTAGGTGAATTCTAGGTAGGGCATAAGGGAAAACGGAAGGGAGCGGGGCAAGGGGTGTAAAAAAGATGGTGGAATGAGATGGACATCATTACACTAAGTACATTATGAAGATAAGAATGGTGTGAATACACAACCAGACACATGAAAAAATGTGCTCTATGTGTGTAATATGAATTGTAAAGCATTCTGCTGTCATGCATAAGAAATTAGAATTAAAAAATAGGTTGATTTTTTAAGACATTCTAAAAATGCCCACCAGGTATACTTTGGCAACTCTACAAATTTCTCTCTCCCCGCTCCCTCTTTCTCCCGCTCCTCTTCTTCCCCCCCTCTCTTCCCCCCCTCTCTTCCCCCCCTCTCTTCCCCCCCTCTCTTCCCCCCCTCTCTTCCCCCCCTCTCTTCCCCCCCTCTTCCCCCCCTCTCTTCCCCCCTCTCTTCCCCCCTCCCTCTCCCCCTCCCCCCTCTCTTCCCCCCTCCCCCCTCTCTTCCCCCCTCCCCCTCCCCCCCTCCCCCCCTCTCTTCCCCTCCCCCCCTCTCTTCCCCCCTCCCCCTCCCCCCTCCCCCCCCCCCCCCCCCCCCTCCCCCCCTCTTCCCCCCTCCCCCCTCCCCCCTCTCTTCCCCCCTCCCCCTTCCCCCCCTCTCTTCCCCCCTCCCCCTTCCCCCCTCTCTTCCCCCCTCCCCCTTCCCCCCCTCTCTTCCCTCCTCCCCCTTCCCCCCCTCTCTTCCCCCCCTCCCCCTCTTTACCTTGGTAAACTCTTTACCACATGAACTTCACTTTTGAATGCTTTTGAAGTTCACAGTTCAGGGCCATTAAGCAAGTTCACATTGCTGTTTCTCTATCCCACCGCTCGCCTTCTTCCCAAAATGGAATTCTGACCCCCTACCCAATTCTTAAGTATTGGGGGTAGAACCCAGGTTCTTTGGAGCATGTTCTGCATTCGACAGGCAGCTCCCCGTCCCGGTCACCAGCCCTGCTAACCTGTCTCTGTGATTTTGACTCCTCCAGGTAACTCATGTAAATGGAGTCCTGTGGTATCTGTTCTTTGGTGTCCAGCTTACTTCACCTAGGATACTGTCCTTCATGTCCGCCTGTGTGGCAGCACACCCCAGGATTTCCTGATCACGTTTCCCCACTCACCCACCGGTGGTCACTGGGCAGCTTCCACACTCGGCTATCGTGAACAATGCCTCCATGAGCATGGACGGACGGTGCTGTCTGCGACCTGTCTTACGGTTTTGGATATGCCTATTCCCAGCATTGGAATTTCCGGATCGTGTGGCAATTCTTATTATTTTGAGTGGCTGCCACTGTCCCCCACAGGGGTGGCACCACCGTGCCTTCCTACCAGCAATGCGCAAGGGTTCCGATTTCTCCACAAACTCGCCAACGCTGCTGTTTCGCTTTTCTTTATGGGTGGCAGCCATCCTAAGGGTGGGAGGTGGCATCTATTGTGGCTTTGGTGCCTGCAGTTCCAGCCACTCTTCAGAAGACATTTACTGTATTCAGAGTCCTGAAATAAGCGCCCGGGCCCAGAGGTAAGTGGCCCCCACTGTCGGGACCATTAGAATGTGTGGGAGGGTCAGGCAAAGACAGCACATGTCACACCTACTTGGTGACATGTCACTGCAAAAGCTGGGCTGATGTACTTGCCCATTTGTTCTGTCATCTATGATATTTCCTCACAGGCCAGGAGTAGTGAGTTCCAAATAGGAGGAAAATTAGAGCATCAACCTTGACATTAGGAAATTCTTGTTCATTTACTTGTTCTTCCCCTTGCAAATTGGGAAAAGATGAGCATTCTTAGGTAGTGGGGGTAGAACCCAGGGTTCTTTGGAGCATGTTCTGCATTCGACAGGCATGAACCGTGCATTTCTAGGGGGCTGAGAGAAAACGGAGGGGAACACGTCTCCCGTGTGACTGCTTCATGTGCATCCATGGCTGTGAGGAGGAGCAGAGGTGGCGATGACGACAGAACACCTGGCATTTGCAGAGGGCATTTAACTCTTCAAAACACTGCCCCAGAATCAGAGGAGGTGGTGTCCGTGCTGAAAAAAGGTTATTGCTTAATTTTTCCCCCTTAATCTGTAATTACTCATGTGCTTCATGCACCTGGTGGAAGTTATACTTAACAGCTAAGCAAATTCTGATGGCCTAACTGGGTTTACATTTTCCTAGCTACTCTCTGCAGTTTCCTTAACATGGGTCTTACTAACCATTTTTGTATGTTTTTTTAATACTAGGTTCTTTGCTAGCAATATCCTCATTTAGAGTACCTTAGAGGTAGGAAATAAAATGTCTACGTGTGTTAAAATATGATCACATTCTTGAAAAATCAGCTATTAACAAGAAAAATGGAATACAAAAGTCTACAATCAGAGTAACAGAAGCCGGAGCTGGGATGTCTTTGGGAAACCATTGGGTGATGGGTAGTATACAAGAAATTGGTGCATTTAAAAATCGAATGAGGTTTAGTGTTCATTCCTATAGAGTGATTTTTTTTTTCCTCTGACAGGTACACTTCCTGGTTTTCTGCAGTGGGGGTCAAGAGTGGCTCTTACAGTCACATTCTTATTCTTTCTGTAAGCTTCTGCCCTCATCATGCAGTTCTAAAACTGCCTGGGCCTCTTGGTGGGAAATAATACCTTCAGGAAGAGTTTGTCTCTCAACCCATCAGGACTCGGGAGGTCCCTGCACAGGGGCAGGTTGGCGATCCACTGCTTTCCCAGGTGTTGGGAGTGCGTCAGGGTGGCAGCACTCAGGGACCTTGTGTGATCAGAGAGGCCATAGTGTGGGGTGCTTGGAGCATTAGATTTTTCCAGAAATCCTGGAAGGATCCATTCAAGAAATGCGAGTTTATCATCCATGTTATATAGATTGAATCTTCTCCCCGCAAAAGATGTGGTAAGTCCAGAGCCCTGGTACTTGTGACCTCCTTTGGAAATTGGGTGTTTGCAGATGTGATCAAGTTAAGATAAAATCATAATAAATCAGAGTGGGCCCTCATCCAGTGGCTGCTGTCCTTCTCAGAACAGAAGAGACACAAGAGAGGACAGGGCCTCGAAGGTGGAGGCAGAGGCTGGAGGATGCATCTTCAAGTGAAGGACACCAAGGATCTGTGGGGATCCACCAGAAGCAGAAGAAGGCCTGGTCAGATTTCCCTCAAAACCCCAGGGACACCTGGATTTTGGAATTTCAGCTTCCAGAGCTGTTGGATACTGAAGGCCTGCTGTTCTAAGCCATCTGGCCTGCGGGAATCTGCTATGGCCGTCTTCAGGAATTCAGACAGTTACGAGAGGCCTCCTGGCCTGGAGGAGCCCTGGGTGATGGGACAGCACTCTTGTCCTTGAGGAGGTCACACCCTGATGGAGAAGCAGATTGTGTAAAGGGGTCAAGTCACAGAAGATGGTGGCTTTGGAGCCCCACTTGGCTTCCTCTCTAGAGAGTTTGGTTTTCTTGTCTTTACTGTGCCAGACACTAGTGTCCTTCTCCTGGGGTTTCTTTAGGAAGATTTTAATACGCTGACAGATTTGAAAGAGCTTGTCCAGTGCGCGGCCTGCTGACGACCTCGGTGAACACTTGTCCCCAGAGGCCCAGACCAGTTTCCTCTCCTACTGAGATCGTTTAGTGTCAGTCTCTCTCCTTTCAAGTTCATGCTGTTAAATTTTCTATTCGTATTGTGTTTATTTAAGGAACCCTATGTTGGGTGAAACCTCATAGCATTTAGGTTTTGGCTCAGTGCATTGGAACACGCTCAAGGGTATTTATAGCTAAAAACGTTTGTGCACCCCAAACCACATTATTTTACATCTCCTGACACTTGAAGGAGCTCTGGTTTGGTTTGGATCTATAAGCCTTCCTGTGGTGTGGAGGAGAGCGAATTTTCCAACGTCTTCTGCATCTCGGTAACTATCTTGGTCCTACCCCATGCACTGCGCCCAGACTGTGGTCTCTGTCAGGTGAGGCACGTGGAGGCCCCTGATGCTCACAGGGTGGGCAGATACTGTCTGAGGATCCCTCTTGGCCATTCTTAGCCCATATTGGGCAAGAGCCTTTCAGAGCTCACACCCACCTTTCTCTGGATTTATCTCAAGTGTCTCAACAGACATCTGTGTTGGGGAAAAAAATGTTTTTCATATTTGGGTCTTGGCAGGACCTGGACACAGAAAATAAATACCTCTTTCAGTTTCTTCTATACACCTGCATAGAATCAAGCAAGGATTTATGAAGTTTGTTCCTTTTGGGGGAAAAGAAAAAAGAAACCCACTTTATTCCCAGCCAACACCCTGGCCTCCATGTGCATTTCAGTAGTAGCTGAGAGCCAGGTGAATGAGGGGGCTGCAGGAGCACCCAAGTTTGCTAATGGGGAACCGACCCGAGGCTGGAGTAGATGGCGGGGCAGGAAACATTTGGAGAAATGAGAGCTGCGTTTTTATTCTTTGGTTGCCAGAAAGTCAAAAGCAAAGCTGGAATTTTGTGGTTCTGGCACTTTCTGAGCCTCCCAGTCATTTTCACAGATGGTTGTGGTTTAGGGCTAAGATGCTTCATCCGCCAGAGGGAAAGAGGCCCAGCGAATGTGCCCCCGCTGCCCACGCGGATGCCAAAGTCTACGCTGCTGCCAGAGAAAATGACAACGTGGAGAAGACGGTTCTAAAGCACCAATTAGGATGCAAAATTGAATGGTACGATTACTGTGCGACACCGGGACTTGAACTTTCCTTTACATCATGTCACCTTGGGAGTCCCAGCTGTCTGTCCGTCAGCTTCCTGGAGCCATGCCCATCATGGCCACTGGACATTGGGACAGTTTTTCCTGCACAACAATGAGTTTGCTCTTGTCATTTGAGAAAACAGACCGGGGACCTGAGACGTGCCATCTGCCAAGGGCCTGGGGTGCAGTGGGGAGAGGCAAAGGTGAAGCCCACACCAGCTCTCCTCTACTGAGGGTGGAAACGCTGACCACATCTTTCTGCGTCAGCCCCTTTCCTAGTCGACCTTTCACCCCTTGCCATCTCTCACCTCCTCTCCTCCGACTCTCACCTGCGTCCTGCCCACACCCTCCCCGGCCAAGCGGGAGCTGGTCCACGTGGTCAGGAGAGCTGGGTGCGTCATCACCGTCCCCTCACCCAGCAAGACCATGCTCTGCAAGAAAGTCCCTCCTGGGAAAGGCCTTGGCCACTTCCTCTCTTGAGTCTAGAGACTGGCTGTTTTCCTACCAAGCCTCTCCTCACTGACCAGCACCCAGCTCCACTGTCGCTGCCTCTGGGAAACCCTTTCCATTTCTCACAGCGCACGAGCCATTTCTCCATGATGGTCTTGACGCTTTGTGTTCTAGTACTCATCTCAGCCTGGACTGGGGTCCTCCAAAGAGCAGAACTTCATTATCCTGATGGCGTTCTTAGTATCTGCTAGAACCTGGTGCACAGAAAAGAGTCAATAATTCTGGTTCTTTGAGAGAACATTTTGTCAGATGACAAAATTATACAGTGTTATAAGTAGGCCCCGAGGCTAGACACTTTCCTGTCATATCCCATTTGTTTGCATGGATATAACTTTCTGTCAGGCCCGTGTCCTGAGGCCTAGCACGGCACACTCAGCTCTCTGTATCCGTGAGATCTGCATCTACAGATCCTGACAACCCCAGCTTGGAAATATTTTTAAGAATTGTATCTGAACTGAACACATACCGGCTTTTCTCTTCCCACGATTCCCTAAACAATTCAGTGTAACAACTATTTACATGGCATTTACATTGTGCTAAGCATTATACGCAATTTAGAGATGATTTAAAATATAAGGGGGATGTGTGTAGGATCTATGCAAGTTTGTGCATTTTATATAAGGCACCTGATATCCTCAGATTTTGGTGTCTGCAGGTCTCCTGGAGCCAGTGAGGCTAGGTCTCACCAGGTTCACGTTTGAGAAAAATGGTTCCTATTAAATTTATGTCATGATTTTCGTTTCACAGTGTACTTTCTTGGATGCTTCGGTATTACAACATTCAGGGGAAGCAGGAAGGGCACGCTGCCAGTCCATGGCATGAGTATTACCTCCCTGTGTCACAGATGAGAAAACTGAGACTTGGAGAGGTGTATTGATTTCTTCTTGGTTGCAAAGTTTTTAAATCCAGAGCTGGGCCTCCTACTCAGCTCCGAATCCCAGCTCGAAGAATTCTAACAACGTGGTATGGTTAAAAAAGCCTAACAATAATTTTGTGGGTTTTACAAAACAAAAGAAAACCACAGCCGGCCATGATAACAGCCTTGACAAAGCTCTTGAACTCTCAGGGCAGAAGCTATCTCCACTTACAGGCGTGTCATGCACTAAGGGACCACTGATCTATGAGCAACGCTCAAACCCCAAGCACATGGGAGGGCTGTGGGGGCAAGCGCTGTCACAGCTCATCAAGAGCTAAGATTTGCAAACATGAAACAGCTTCCAAGACTTGGTTCCTTGGCCCCATGAGTGAGTGAGCGGCCCCTGGGGTGTGGCTGTGTTACTCTATCAGTCAAGAGCTGAAACAGACCTTGGCTGGGGTTCAGGGTGCACATTTGGGAGGAAGGTATGATTCATCCTTGTTTTGTCCAGGTTTGAGAGCTCAGGCAAGGATTCCTCCAGAGTCACACTGGGCTCCCTAACTGTGTTTCCTCTTCAATAGGCTTTTCAGTGGCATTTCAAGGTTCCCTTGGGGACAGATTGGAAGAATTCTGTGTGTGTGTGTGTGTGTGTGTATACACACACGTGCATACATGTACACTATATGTATTTCCCCCCCCCACTGAGACACATACCCCATTTAGAAGTCTCTGCCTTATGAATTGGGTTTAGATAATGTCACCACACTGAAGAGATCTGTTGGATCCAGAGATGACACCAGGTATTTGGGACAAAAGAAATCTTGGAACATCTGTGGATCCTAGGGATAAGGCTCAGGGAGGGGTTACTCTGTCTAAGCCATTTAACCTGGAACAGCACACTTGCCTGGAGAAACTCACCAGAGGCACATGTACTGGTTCCTGTTCTTGTCAGGACTGCCTGGTCCTCGGGTTCCTCCTTGCCCCCTGAACCAGGTGACTTCTAGGACACCCCCTGGGGCCAGCCTGGCTCCCAGACCCGCCCAGCCTTTGGATCATTGGCTGAGCTGAATGAGTGGAGCACAGTCTCAGGCTTGGTTTCTTGTGAACACACTCTGAGGGCTGTCCCCTTGCCCAGGCACGTCTGCCTGCAGGGGCATGGCAGAGTATGCAGTGCAGAGTCACTCCTGGGTCAGGTAGCCTGGAACCCAGGGTCTGCTCAGGACCACATCTGGCTTTGGTGGCCTCAGCATCTGCATCTGTAGGTGGGAGGCGGTGCTCACAGCAGGACAGACTCAGGGTTTTTGTGCCTGAGCCCAGGCCATGCCTCGTTTGTGGAATGGAGATGGTAATACCGACCCGGGGGCTGTCACAAGTACCATTTCCAGTATCAGAGCTGGTGTGGATCAGATGAGATCTTGGTGTCTTAGTCCACTTGGGCTGCTAACAAAGTGCCGCCGACTGGTGTCTTTCCCGACAGTGGGGGTTTACTTCTCACAGTCCTGGAGGCTGGAAGTCCAAGGTCAGGGCACCAGCTGGTCTGATTGTGGTGCAGGTCTTTTTCCAGGTGGCAGTCTACTGTCTTCTCTGTGTCCTCAAGTTGTGAGCGAGCTCTCGGGGCATCTTATATGGGCACTATCCATCCATGAAGGCCCCACCCTCACTGACCAAATGCCCTCCTGAAGGCCCACCTCCTCCTGGCATCACGTTGGGGTTAGTATTTAAAATGACTTTTAGGGGGACACAGACACTGAAGCCATCGCCTCTCTGCCTCACATCGAGGGCTTAGTAGACGTCGCCTGTTTGTATTCTCATTATTAGTGAAGCGTAGGGCCATTGGGGCTAAAGGTGGTTGGTTGGCTTAGTCAGTATAGGGACATGAGAGCCACCAGGGCTTGCTAAATGAGGAGGGTCCGAACCAAGAGTGTGGGTGAGGCAGGGCCCAGTCAGGACAGGGACACCTGCACGATCAGATCTGAGGCATCTGGTCTTGCAACCCCAAGTTGGGGGACCAAGCCAGACTGGACCTGGGAGGGTCCAGCTGAGAGCAGGGCGAGGATGTGGGGGAAGGCACACTCACACATGGCTGGTGGGCTGCAAATTGGTGCAGCCAATCTGGAAAGCAGTATGGAGATTCCTTGGAAAACTTGGAATAGAACCACCATTTGACCCAGCTATCCCACTCCTCAGTTTATAACCAAAGGACTTAAAAACAGCATAGTACAGTGACACAGCCACTTCAATGTTTATAGCAGCACAATTCACAATAGCTAAACTGTGGAGGCTTTGCTGTAGATGAGATCATCATCTTTTAATTGAAAGAAACTGTGGTATCTTTATACAATGGAATATTACCCAGCAGTAAAAGAGAATAAAATCATGACATTTGCAGGTAAATGGATGGAATTGGAGAATATTATGCTAAGTGAAGTAAGCCAATCCCCCCAAAACCAAATGCTGAATGTTTTCTCTGATATAAGGAGGCTGATCCATAATGGGGATGTGGGGGGAGCATGGGAGGAATGGAGGAACTTTAGATAGGGCAAAGGGAAGGGAGGGGGCATGGGGGTAGGAAAGACATGGAATGAGATGGACATCATTACCCCAAGTACATGTATGAAGACACAAATGTTGTGATTCTACTTTGTGTACAACCAGAGATATGAAATTGTGCTCTATGTGTACTATGAATTGAAATGAATTCTTCTGTCATATATAACAAATTAGAATAAATAAATAGATTTATTTTAAAAAGCTGAGAGCAGCCTGGATCTGGGAACAGCCAAATATTAGGGGCACCTTTGCTACACAAGGTACCGAATGGGTGTGGGGCAGAGAGGTGTGTAAGACACATCAGCATCTACCTGGGAGGATTCCCACTCTGGGCGTTGGTAAAAAGGGTCAGCCTTGGTCTAAATATTAGGACATGTAGACCCATTGAACTACTTTAGATTAAAATATTGTGTTACTAATTTATCTCTTTATATTTTTCTCTTCCTCCTCCTCCTCTTTTCATATTGGGGGACTGAGCCACATCCCCAGCCCTTTTTTATCTTTTATTTAGAGATAGGCTCTCATAAAGTTGCTCAGGTCCTTGCTAAGATGCTGAGGCTGACTTTGAAATTGTGATCCTCCCGAATTGCTGAGATCACAGGTGTCTGCCACTGTGCCGCGATATTTTTTTTTAAGAGTAAACAAATTATTTTACAGTTACATATAGGAGGGGTGTATAAATAAACGTGTTGCCTGGGTTCAAAGGATGAAGATTTATCTCTGTTACTGTCTTGTGAACTTGGGTCTCTGTTTCCTCATCTAGTAAAAAGGGACAATGACAGTGTCATTGTTTTGTCAGGTATCTTGAACGTCACATGAGCCAGGAAAGGTGCAGGTGCTCAGCACACTGTGCCACCCAATGCCATTATGCTTTGACATCTAGTTTTCCTTGTGGGAAATAAACAGCACGTGTTTTGGGCTCTGCCCTCAGCATTTGCTTGGACAGTTCTTGGGTGGATGCTAAGGTCTGTTTCCTTCTCGGTGATTATGACACAACTTGAGGATCCGAGCAGCCTGTATTTCCCCACACCAGGATCTTCTTGGTAGTTTTTATCTTATGAGCTGGGTGTTCTGAACCATCTTCCAGAAATTGCTTTGGTTTTCTGAGCTGTCACTTTGATTTGAGCCCACTACTAGCCCCAGCTGTCCCTTTCAGAGACTCAGGGAAGGAGAACTCACGCCCCTGAAGGGGTGACTGTGTTGGGCTGGGTCTCACAGTGTCTCCGTGCAAGTTCGACTGAGCTGGCCAGGCTGGGAGAGAGAGTGAGGTGTGGGCTCGAGACCCTGAGAGTAGCAGGCAGAGTGCGACGGGGCCCTGTTCAGAACTCCTCTCCCGCCCCACACCGAGGCCATTCTTGGGTGGCAGTGGAATTCTCCCCTCTCTCCCACAGACCTTCTTGTGATGGGTCCTGGCTGGTCATTGTAGAGTTGGCCATCCATCTGCAGTGTGGCTGGGGCAGGACGGCTTCCACAGGACTTGGTGCTTTTACATCTTCAGCAACCTGTATAAAAAGAGCATGTGTGAGCTCATGCACTCTGCCAAAGCCAAGCCATCCGGCTGAGGCTTAAGGACCATTCTGGGGGCTGGAGTCCAAGATCAAGGTGCTGGCAGCATCCGTCCTGGGCTAGTGAGCACGTTCTCACTGTATCTTCACCTGGGTTCCCCCACATGCCTGATCTCCTCTTTTGGGACACAAGGCAGGCTGGATTAGGGCCCACCCTAAGGACATCATTTTAACTGAGTTATCTCTTTAAACACTTTGCGTCCAAGTACAGGTCACACTCCAAGGTATTTGGAATCAAGGGGACATGGTTCAGCCCATCACAGAACGCAAAGGTGTGAATAAAAATTGAGGTTTAGGGCTTCAGAAGGGGCCTGTGCAGACGAGGGGTCCCCAAACATGGTCTTTTTAGCTTCCCAGTAAACTTGCTTCTGAGCTGACCTGTGGCTGTCACTGTGCTGGCAGGGGGACAAGACGGCAGACATCGCCCCAGGAAGCTGGGCCAGTGGCAAGAGCAGTGATTGCTGGGTGCTACCTGGGAAGGCAGGGGCGTGTCATGAGGGCGGCGGGGGGGGGCTCAAGGTGGTCCCTATGAGGATGACTGGGAATGGGGGCTGGCTTCCCGTGAGAATAAACCATCCAAAACCAACCCCACCAACACCAGCACAGCGTCCGCCCTGGGATAAATGTCTTTCACAGGGGACTCCATCACTTCTTCTATTCGTAACGTGGTAAAACTGTACGGAGTAAAAATGATCAGTTTCAGATGGAGAGTGCCTGGCTGTTTCCAGAGCACCCTCCTGTCCAAATCCCACTCCTCTTCTGAAACA